CGCATGGGGAAACTTTTGAAAAAACACAACCTACAAACAGTATTCAAGCCCACCACAAAAATACAACAAATGTTACAGTCAGCAAAGGACAGAAGGGACCCCCTCACCACTGCAGGAGTATACTGGATACCTTGCAGTTGTGGCCAGGTATTTATTGGAACCACAAAATGAAGCATCCACACGAGAATCAAAGAACACGAGAGACACTGCAGACTAAAACAAACAGAAAAATCTGCAGTAGCTAAAACAAACTGGACATGAAATTCTATTTCAAAATACTGAAATACTGGACAACACCAGCAATCTTTACGTCAGACTGCACAGGGAAGCCATTGAAATCCTCAAGCACCAGCACAGTTTCAACAAAAAAGAGGAAAGTGTGAAGCTCAACAAAACTTGGCTCCCAGCTCTCAAAAATGCAGTGTGCAAAAGGTCAACGAACTCTACCCAGCCACAAGGACCGGGGATCACTACACACAAAAGACCAGCTAACAACACCCATCAACCACAGTGAAAGATAATCTCTCCTTCTTATCACAACAATACACCCACAACAAGACTCACTAATCACCCATCTACAAAAAAAGAGACAAAAGCCCATCTCACAGCCATAAATACTCCACTCCCAAGCCAACTACACCAGAGCACAGAGTGCTCTCCTCTGAAGATGCCAGCCACAGAGACTGGAGAAATGTTAGGAAGAAGAACCTTCAGAACATGGCCAAAGAGCCCGAAAAACCCACAACAACCAATCTATATTTTCTTTTTAGTTCCTTTAGGATAACTTCAAAATATCCAGAAGAACTTGTGGTGATCCCCCTTGTTGCCCATTTATTTCCTTTGGGCTCCGCAAAGGTAAACACACATTTTTCCTTTTTTAGGATAGGAAGAACAACCAATCTATATTTTCTTTTTAGTTCCTTTAGGATAACTTCAAAATATCCAGAAGAGCCCTATTGGGTCAGATTCTGAGGCTCTGAGATGCAATGATGCTCTTACCATTTTTATTGTAACAGGTGCATATCTATGCCTGTGTTTTTACTGAATCTGTTTGAATTAACTTTATATTGCTTGCCAGAAGATTCTGTTATAGAAGAGAATATGAGTGAGGGTTCTTTTTTGATAATTGTACATGCCTCTGCTAGAAGTGAAATAACATCTAGTGATTTATTTATTTGTATTTTGTTTAAAAACATTTTAAATAGACTAAGGCAGCTTACTTCATTAAAAGCTAACTTCATTAAAAGATAGTAAAAAGGTAAAGGTAAAGGTTCCCCTTGACAATTTATCCAGTCATGTCCGACTCCAGGGGGCGGTACTCATCTCCATTTCCAACCCATAGAGTTAGCGTTTGTCCGCAGACAATCCTCCGTGGTCACGTGGCCAGCATGACTAGACATGGAACACTGTTCCGTTTTTTAAAAGATTTCCCTTTTAAAAGATTTCCCTTTTAAAAAAGATGATATTTAAAGCTAAAAAGAGTAAGGACACAAATACTAAGAAGGATCAGACAAAAAGTATACTAACAATAGTTTAAAAAACAACACAAGAAGGTCATTCAAGGCAGTAAGGCACAACAATCTACAGTATTTACAAATCCCGCTTAGGTCACCAGTCACTGAGGGAAAGCTTTCCTGAAGAGAAAGGTTGCCGAAGCACAGCAAAGATGGGGCCAACCTGGCCTCTTGTAGGAGGGAGTTCTGAAGTCTGGGAGCAGCAACAGAGATGCAATAGTAACATGATTACTTGTGTCTGTTAGTTGGGAGAACCAACCCAGGCACTGTTATGAACAAATTATGGAAAGAAGGTGAACACTTTTGCAGAATAGACCATTTCAAAATGCCGGTGACACCATCAATTAAGCAAGTTGTACTTACATCAAGTAGGTCCATCTTGTCCACAAAGCTGGTGCTGACGGACTGGAGAGCGGCCAGTGGCCAGGCATGGAACCAATCGATAGCGGTGCTGTTGACTAAAGCTGGAAACTTCCTTGCTCTCGCTCTCAGGGTGAAACCCACTGGGGAGAAGCATAAGACCACCTGGAAAGCAAAAACTGTTCTCAGGAGAGAGCCTTCCATAATTAACTAGGCTTCAAATTAACGTCAGAAGATGAATGGCGTCATTCGTGTAATTAATTAGTTGGGTACTCCATGTAAAACTTTAAAATGTGCTTCCGTAAATCAGTCAGCTCAACACTTTCCTTTTCCCAACTGTGCACTTAGCATCCATTCCATATTCTCCGTTCTTCAGGCTGCAGCAGGCTGCAGAACTCTCTTTGACCTTATAGTTACAGCCTGCTCAGTATTTACCTAGACAAAAGTTAAGGACTTTTCAGCCCTACTGATTTCGGTAGAACGTGTCAGCAGAACCACCATCGCCACCAAAGCACTTCCAAGTTAACTTGTGGAAATAGCCACTGAAAATTGGAATGGCTGACACACAACACATTCCTCTTTGGAAAGAAATATCGTCTAAACTTTTTATTCTAAGAAAACAGGACCCCTTTTCTTTATTATAAAAATATATGGAGACAGAAAATGTAAGAGATGTCTTCGTTCTAACCAACTGAGGTGGCAACAGAGGGAGCTGTGGCTGCCCCTTCGTCTCTCAAGAAGAAAGGCAAAATGTCTCCTCTGTCTTCTCCCAGAGACGACCAAGAGACAAATGGGGGAAGGAAGGAAGTGACACACGTTTACTCGTTAGCCTGCAGCAAAAGGTAAACTGGCATCTGGAGGTAAGCCTTTGGATGTCTTTAGTGTAGCTGACAAAGTTTTCTGGCTCCCAGCTTTTCAGCAGCAGCAGCTAATGCAATGCAACGACAAACTGCGACCAGCAAAAAGGCATGGAATTCAATAAGAAAAAACACCCACATGGAAACACTTGAACACGAGACATCAGCTTCAATCACAAGGGCAAGATGAATCAGACTTACAACAGGATGAATCAGACAATTTATTTTAATTTTGAGCACCTCTCCTTTTTATAAGGCAGCAGGGTAGCTCAATGGCTTAGGTCTCTGGTTGCAGACCCAGAGTTCGATTCCCAACTGTGTCACCTGTGAGTGGAGCCAGCCTGGGTGGCCTTGGGCAAGCTGCACAGTCCCAGGGCACCCTTCCACCAGAGGAAGGGAATGGGAAACCACTCCTGAGTGTCCTCTAACTAGAAAACCCAGAAAAAGGGTCGCCATATGTCAGAATTGATTGGATGGCTCATGATGATTATTGTTATCTCCTTTTTATGCACATCTGCTGGTGGTTGTAATTGCTGAATGGCAACAATCAAACACCTCTCTCTCTCTCTCTCTCTTTCTCTCTCAAAGGAGACATGTATGTGATAGCAGGAGGAGAAGAACCAGGAGCCAGTTTTTGCATACCAAAGACGGCAAGGTCAGCTCTAGTACTGACAACAAATTCCTAGGCTAAGCATATGCTCAGAATTAGTCTGCCCAAATGTAGATCTACCCTCAAGGAGCCACTATACAAACATTTGTCTTCATTTTCTGGGCTTTGATGATCTGGTACTAGCAGAGTAGATCCAGCAAACATGAAATCCAACCACCCTGATGGATTAGGTGAGTCACTCTCTTCGGGGGTCAGCCCCTACCCAGTTGCAATTTTTGCGGCTACGCTGTCTGAGCCTCACCAGTTGATTCCACAAAGTGCGGAAGAATTTATCAAGAAACTGCTGGCATCTGAACTTTTCTCTCCTATGCTCTAGCAAGAGGGTGCCAGTTTCAGTGAAGCTGAAAAGGGCCCGAGCAGAGTTTACCCTTCCATAGAGCATTGGGGACTTTTAACATACTACTCTCCGAACTCCATGGTTGAATGGGCGAGGCACAAGACCTAGGACCTGAGTTCCTCTAAAAGCAACTTCCAAACCAAAGGTCTTTTTAAAGTTTATTTGAAAAAAAAAAATCAGAATCAGAATGAAAACAAATTAAAGAATGTGTTTGGCAGTAAGCCAGGAAATAAAAGTTGCAAGGTTTTGGAAACAGTTCGTACAAAATCAAAGAACAGATTTTGGAAAATAATGAACGATCTTATACAAAACAAAGAGAAGACTTTGAACGTTAGCAAAAGGAAATTGCACTCAAGAAAACAAGAAACCACTATTCTACCATGGGGCTGAGATCCTCCACTTCTTCCCTCCAGCACTGGTTTCTTAGCAGCCCCAGGATAGCTGGTCTAACTTCTCTAAGGGTTCAGTTATACTGATAGTAAGAACTGCTGCTGAATCAGGGTCTGTGGGAATAAAATTGATTTTTAAAATCCCAGCTACTTGATACATGGTGAAGCCCCCTCTCTCTCTCTTTGCCACAAAGTGTGGTTTTTTTGGGCAAGAGGCAGACAGAGGCCCTTTCTTTCAACGTGCTTGTGAAATCCATTCATTATGATTCATTTTGGCATGTGTGACCAGACCTGTCATAGTAAATACTGCCAAACACCCAGCTCAGTGGTTGAGGTCTCTGGCTGTAGAACCGGAGGTTGGGAGTTCAATTCCCCACTGGGCCTCCTTGCCAGGGGCTGGGCTTGATGATCCATAGGGTCCCTTCTAGCTTTGTGTTCTAAGGTTATTATTATTTAAAAACACTAACCACAGTCAATCAAAATTATAAAAACATTGACTGGTATTATGTAACAGATACAAATTTTAACCAAAAACCTAAGTATCTGTTAAACGTTGGCGTAGTATGTATGCTGTTCCTAATAATGCCAGTTTTTTTGTAGCTCTGATGGTGTGATTTCTGAGATCTGCAACTGCTTTTAATACTGTGTGAAATTTCTTGATAGTGTTCCTGAAGCCCCAGTGACTGCGGGGACCACTGAAGTGTGTTTTATCCACAAGTGAGATGCTTCGATTGCTGTAAGAACTGCTGCTGAATCAGGGTCTGTGGGAATAAAATTGATTTTTAAAATCCCAGCTACTTGATACATGGTGAAGCCCCCTCTCTCTCTCTTTGCCACAAAGTGTGGTTTTTTTGGGCAAGAGGCAGACAGAGGCCCTTTCTTTCAACGTGCTTGTGAAATCCATTCATTATGATTCATTTTGGCATGTGTGACCAGACCTGTCATAGTAAATACTGCCAAACACCCAGCTCAGTGGTTGAGGTCTCTGGCTGTAGAACCAGAGGTTGGGAGTTCAATTCCCCACTGGGCTTCCTTGCCACTAACTTCTCTAAGGGTTCAGTTATACTGATAGTAAGAACTGCTGCTGAATCAGGGTCTGTGGGAATAAAATTGATTTTTAAAATCCCAGCTACTTGATACATGGTGAAGCCCCCTCTCTCTCTCTTTGCCACAAAGTGTGGTTTTTTTGGGCAAGAGGCAGACAGAGGCCCTTTCTTTCAACGTGCTTGTGAAATCCATTCATTATGATTCATTTTGGCATGTGTGACCAGACCTGTCATAGTAAATACTGCCAAACACCCAGCTCAGTGGTTGAGGTCTCTGGCTGTAGAACCGGAGGTTGGGAGTTCAATTCCCCACTGGGCCTCCTTGCCAGGGGCTGGGCTTGATGATCCATAGGGTCCCTTCTAGCTTTGTGTTCTAAGGTTATTATTATTTAAAAACACTAACCACAGTCAATCAAAATTATAAAAACATTGACTGGTATTATGTAACAGATACAAATTTTAACCAAAAACCTAAGTATCTGTTAAACGTTGGCGTAGTATGTATGCTGTTCCTAATAATGCCAGTTTTTTTGTAGCTCTGATGGTGTGATTTCTGAGATCTGCAACTGCTTTTAATACTGTGTGAAATTTCTTGATAGTGTTCCTGAAGCCCCAGTGACTGCGGGGACCACTGAAGTGTGTTTTATCCACAAGTGAGATGCTTCGATTGCTAGGTCTCTGCACTTTGTTAGTTTTTCCAATTCTTTATTTTCAACTCTCTTGTAATTGCAGTGTCAGTGATCCAGACCTTTCTTTGCTCTGTTACTACTATGTCTGGTGTTTTATGTTAAGGTGTCTCTCAGTTTGGATCTGGAAATTCCACAAGATCTTGACTTCCTCATTTTCTGGCATCTTCTCTACCTGATGTTCCCAAAGGTTTTTGGAGGCTGTCAAGTTATATTTTTTGCATAATGACCAGTACAATAATTTTGCCATGTAATGTTGTAATCTGTTTGTGCAGTCTTTGGATATTCACTGATGAGGTGTGACACAGTTTCATCTTTTTCTTGGCAGAGTTGACATTTGCTGTTAGCACTAATTCCTTGAATCTTAGCTTTCATCACATTAGTTTGGAGTGCTTGTTCTTGTCCAGCAAAAATTAAGTCTCCAGTTTCTTTCTTAATGATCACCAGTTTTAGACATGCCCATGTTGAATGATTATTATCATGCTTTCCATTAATATTTATCTATGATGATGATGATGATGATGTCTTTGATCCTATACTTCATCCATTTGTTTCTGTCAGCTCTCAGTATCTCTCTCCTATTCAGGCGTGTTAATTATTGTATATTGAGGCCATCTGACTTTACATATCTACATATCAGAGATATACATTCTATTGCAGCCTGCCTGGCTTCTTCCTTAGAAATGGATGCTCTTTTGATCTAGTGAAACCACATCTTCATAAAAAGAGTCAGAAATCATATCAGAGAATCATACTAACCTCTCTACAGCAATAGAAGGGATAATACATGCACTCCTTCCAGGGTGGGTGTATTTACAAATCTTTGAGCTGGCTGGATAGATAGTGAGTTAGGTATCTGGCTACAGAGCCTGAAGTTGAGAGTTCAATTCTCCACTGTGCCTCCTGGGAGAAGAACTAGCCTGGGTGGCCTTGGGCAAGCTGCACAGACCCAGGGCACCCCCAGATGAAGGAAGTGATAAACCACTTCTGTGTACTCTGTACCTAGAAAATTCTGAGAGGGGTCAGAATTGACTTGATGCCTCATCATTATTATGATTTATGATCTCCAGTGAAATGTTTAAAAGCTGATTTGAGCACTTGAAGCCACGACACACATACTATGCAATTATAATTACAAAAATATATAATTTGATTAAAACTTGCATGATTATAATTATCC